CCCTCACACGCGTCCTCTCACAAGTGTCCCCTCATACGCATCCCCTCACATGCGTCCCCTCACACGCGTCCTCTCACAAGTGTCCCCTCATACGCGTCCCCTCACATGCGTCCCCTCACACGCATCCCCTCACAAGCGTCCCCTCACATGTGCCCGCTCACATGCGCCCCCTCACACGCGTCCCCTCACAAGCGTCCCCTCACACGTGTCCCCTCACACGCATCCCCTCACATGTGCCCGCTCACACGCACCCCCTCACACGCGTCCCCTCACATGTGCCCGCTCACGTGTCCCCTCTCACGTGTCCTCTCACAAGTGTCCCCTCATACGCATCCCCTCACACGCATCCCCTCACATGTGCCCGCTCACATGCGTCCCCTCACACGCGTCCTCTCACAAGTGTCCCCTCACACGCGTCCCCTCACACGTGCCCCCTCACAAACGTCCCCTCACAAGTGTCCTGGGCACACGGAGCAGGTGCTGCCGGCACAGAGGGTGCCAAGGCCCCTGCTGGGCTCGTGGAGGGGAATATGTGCCCCGGGAGCCCCACACATGCCTTCACCGTAGTCTTTTGAGCACCTGTGAGGTCCGCAGGTGGACCAGAACTGGCCCCCTCCCTGCTGGCCTGGAGGTCCATGGCTACCCTGTGTCCCTGGAGCCCGCATATAGTAGGGGCTCAATAAAACCTGACTAGAAAAAGCTAATACATGTGTGCACCGTGGTGTGTGTATTCTACCATAGTCACAAAGTGCCTGGGAGATGCTAGGGAGGAAAGTGCCATTGATGAGAGGTTCTGTCCATAAAAGTCCAGCGTGACCACAGCCAGATCATGCCTGGCTCTCAGTTGGCCCACATGGGACTGGGCGCTGGGGTGCAGGCTCCGCTCACACGTACAAGGTGCAGACACAGCCGCTAAGGGGCTGGGAGGCCTGCGTGCGGGACACTACTGAGGTAGGTCTGCGGGCCACGGGCCTCTCACAGACCAACCCGGCAGCAGAGACAGTCCCCGACGGAGGGAAACACCTGGCCCTCAGTTTCATGCCCTCGTTTGGGGACCCATGTGGTCCGCTGGGGCTCACTCTGCTGTTGATTTCTGGGGCCTGCTGGGTCTCTCCTCAATAGGAGCCTGAGAAGACTGGGCCTCTGTGACCAGGCTGTGGCTTTTCCTGTGGGCTGGACCTCGGCCCCAGCGCCAGAGGGCGGCCTGGCTGCAGGGCAGGAAGTTGTGTCTGACTGCCCAGCCGGGAGCCTGGGGCCGGCCACTGCTGGGACATGCGGCCAACCTCGGGCGGGCCTCAGAAATGGCTGAGGGCCCCCCAACCCCCACCCCCGCAGGGAGAGGAGCAGCAGCGGAGGGCAAGAGGGTTAAGTGAGGTGGCCGAGGTGACCCCGCTGCCCAGGCTGGTGATCGTCAACAGGAGACGGGGCGACGGTAGTTCCCGGGAGAAGGTGGGTGCCAGACCGCAGGCTGGGAGCGCAGGTGGCCCCACGCTGGGGGTGGCAGAAGCTGGAAATTCAAGATTTCTACCTGCCATAAGCGGGAAGATGGCAGCCAAGGGCCATCCGGGTCCCTGGCACCCCATGGCTCGTGCCCTGCCATGGGAACTTAACAGTGGGGCCGGGTGCCCCTGAAACAAGGCGAGTGAGGGCTCTGGATGGGCCCCTCCGGGAACGGCGAAGGGCGCCAGGAGTGCCCATAAAGGCATGTGGACCAGGCCCCTCCAGGCCCACGAGGTCAGGCCGCTCCAGGTCACACGCCGGAGGCCAGGCCTGCTCGGGCCTCCCCTTGCGTGAAGGCCCGTACTGTTTAAGAAACAAGCTTGGGGTGTTTACTCCTGGGATCTTCCTTGGCGCGGTGGGTCTCAATGTGAGGGGCACAACAGCTGAGACACGGGGGACCCTCTCACCCCACACCAGACCCCTGCACGCGGGGTCTCTGCCATGTCTGCACATGTGGAAGTTACAGGAGGCAAGACAGAACCTGCACATCCGACAGACTCTCAAAGTGGGGTGGGGGCACCCCAGCACCCCCTGAGCTGCACCAGAGGCTTAAAGAGGAAGCTGGTACGGAGGGAAGAAAACAACATTAGCAGGGACGGGACTCTCTTGCCAGGGCTCGCTCAGGCTGGCGTGGGCGACGCTGCCTCGGGACAGCCGAGGCTCTGGAGGTGATGATGGGGGGATTCAGGCCCAGCTGCCGCCCTCCTGACCCCCAGCTCTGCAGACTGCAAAGGAGCGAGTCCTCCCCAGTGGGGGCTGAACCAGTCAGCGTGGCAACACATCAGAGTGGACACAGGGCACCCCCACGTGGCCGCGGCCCTGACATGGCGGCAGGGGAGAGGGTGTGTCAACGAGAGGGCTCCCAGGGCTGCCCGAGGGCCCTTGTGTCCTGCGGCCATACCTGTTGGGCTCTGGGAGGCAGAAGGGGTGGACAGAGAGCTGGCTCCTGAGTCGCAGTGGCTGGTGTTCCCGCTGCCGCTGGGGCTCCCGCTGGCCGACGGCGGCGACGGCGAGCTGTGCTGGTTTATGCACTGGGCCACGGCAAAGCCTGCAAGAGAAGGCGGTGACTGAGCGAGAGGGAGGGAACGAGCTGCCCAGGCGCGGGGTGCCAGGCTCCCCAGTGGTGTGAGCACGAGCCCCTGCCTCCACGGTAGGCTGGGGTCTCAGGTGAAGGCTTAAGACCCAAACCCGGCTCCTTGGAAAATGAGCGGGTGCCCGGAATGAGGCGGCCTCGCAGCTCTGGGGCTGGGCAGACACGCAGGAGCTCCTCCGGGGGGAAGGGAGCAGTGCCGGACGCTGCCCGGAGGACACACAGCCCTGGGCTGTGCCTGGGGGTAGCCTCAGGCCTGCGCCAACCAGCGAGAGCCCTCCCGAGGCTCCGAGGTGTGCGGTGAGCGCCCGAGTTGCCTCGTCAGAGAACGTGCTCCAGCCGGGAGCCCTGGCCTGTTCTGGTGCAGGGGGACGGGACTGGCAGCGACCAACTGTGGAGACTCCAGGGCCAAGCGGTGGTTCTGGGCCTGGACCCGATGGGCCTTCCCAGCACGGCGGAGTGGACAAGCTCCCTTTCGGGCATGTTCAGACCTGGGCGAAGCCCTGCCCCACTGAGCCATGGCAGGCCGCACTCTGCACCCCCGCCCCTCCTGCCCCGAGCCTAGCGGGCTTCGCCACCACTGCTCTTGAGCCAACACAGGACTTGGCGTGAGGTGAGAGCCCTTCCCAACCCACCTGGGGCCTCTTCCCGCGGACCCGTGCTGTCCCGGCCATTCACATCAAGCCTCTGGCCACCCCCACCCCGATGGCGCTCACCGCCACCAACCCAAACCCCTCACACCACCTGCACTGCCCCCAGCTTCACCCAGATAGTTCTCACTGATACCTCTTCCAGAAGGTTCTCCAGGCCCTGACCTCAGGACCCAGGAAGGAGCAGGCAGTCGACTGGGTCTGCAGTCTGCGGCCCACTAAATGAAGTTTGACGGAAACGGGGACACAGTCCTTGCTGAGACTGGGGTTGCACGGCAGCGCTCAGAGCTGCCATCGAGACCGCAGGCCGCGCCAAGTCCGAATACGTTACTCTGCCCCCTGACAGAAACGCGAGAAGACGGAACTGGGCTCGGGCCCCAGGAAAGCCTGGCTTCTATCCCTGCGCTGCTCACTTTCAGCTGCGGGGCCTGGGCAAGTCTCTGACTGCCCTGAGCCTCGCTCCCTTCACCCTGGGGGGGCGGGCACGGGGCCTGGCCGGGGACGGGCGCACAAGGGTACTCGCTGCTTTACCCCCCGCGAGGACTTAGGGAGGCCCCACAGCTGGCCACTGCGGAAAGGCTATGCTGTCCTCACGTGTCTGAGGACGTCTGTCCCGGGTCAGCTCCTCAGAGGCTGGGGTTTCTCTCTGTGCCCTCGACCTCCCGGATCGGGGGGCTGTGAGGACATGGCTGTTCAATCGCAGCTCTGCAGGGGGCCAGAACAGGCCCCGCGGCTGCGCAGGAGGCAGCGTGCATGCGTGTGCGTGCACACGTGTGTGCGATGGAGGCGGGGTCCTCGACTGCCAACCCGGGACTTCGAGGCCCATTAAACACAGGCTGGGGGCCTGCCGGGGCCGTCAGCCACAACCCCGGAGAGGCAGCTCCAGGGCCGCTTGCTTCCTAATCGCCGCAAGTGGCCCACCCCCACGTTTACAAGCTGTTTACTTGCCTGGAAAATGAATCACCCCCTAACTAATCAAAATGTCAGCATGGCTTCTCCCCGCGGCTTCAGAGTCCGGACAGGAGGGGCCGCTGGGAGCGAGGTGCCGGAGGACCGACCCCTGCGGGAGGGTGGGGGTGTGGCTGTCACCCTTTCTCCCTCTCTTTTCTGTCTAGCACTTTGTTCTTTTCAACTTTTTTTTTTTTTTAAGATTTATTTATTTGTGCATACAGAGCTGGGGTACAGGCCAGAGGCTCAGGGGTGGTGAGAGGCTTCACCAGAGACAGAGTGGGGAGCAGAACAGGTCGACTGACAAAGCACACTGCTGAGGGGAGCAGCGGGCTGGTCAGGAGAGGTCTGCCACGCCATGTGGTCACCTCCGGGGCAGCCGGGAATCAAACTCATGCGGAAGTGGCTTTAGCTTCTCAGTGCTGTGCTTCAACCCACTGCGCCACCAGGGAGGGCCTCAACTTATTTTTTAATTGAAGCCATGCTGCCTTGTCCTTCCTGCTCTTTACGCCCTGCTTTACTCCTGCAGGATCTCTGGGGAGGGGCCGGGGCGGGAGGATGCAACCTTACTCAGGATGCGCGGGGGGCTTGGCCACACTGGCCATCACGACAGTGTGCTTTCGCCTGTGCTGACCGTTAAATAGAAAAAAAATCACCACTCCTGTCACGCCCACCCATTTGCAGGGTCTAGCTGGCAGAGACAAGCAAATGCCTCTTCCTCATCTGCTACCCCTGACAATCGGCCTCCCTCCCCCACTGAGGACCCACAGCGGCTCAGCAGGGTGTTCTGTCTTTTTCTGCTGAGGGCTCAGGCTCCCCGTAATCTCCTGGGAATCCTGTCACACTGAGGTAGCAGCCCCTTTGCGGGCTGAGGCGCGGGAGGGCTCGGGAGAGCCTCCCACTTCTGCTTTATCCCAGCTCAGGTTTGGCAGCAGTGCCGAGGGGCTTTCTGAGGTGAGGGGGAGTCAGACCGCAGGTGTGACCACAGCCTGGCAAGCCCACCGACGAGCCAGAGACCCGGGCTCCCGGGGCGCTTGCCGAGTCGCGGCCTGGGCTGTCTCCGAGGCCGTCTGGACTCTCACATCGGGAAGGGTCGGCTATGGATGTGCCAGTATTCCAAACAGTGGTGTGTGGGGCAGGAGACACCGAGAACGTCAGCGCTGAGGGAGAGGTCAGACGACTCTGAATACGTCTGCGTGACGCATCTTCTGCTACAGTGAACACACTGGCGTAAAGATCAGGCATGAGCGGGAGGCTCCAGACACAGAAAAAACAGCTGTAAAAATCGTTTGAAAAAGCAACTCAGGCTCCTCTGAGCACAGAGACGCAGGAATGGCAGCTATTTTCTGAGCTAGTTTGAGTTTTCCAAGATTCCTTCTATAAACACCGTTTTAAGTGAGAAGACGGGAGGATGAAGGACGCGTGGACGCCGCGGTCGGCCGTCACACGCCCTGGGGCGTGTCCTGGCCTCCACAGCCCTCTTCTCCAGACTCCCAGCCACCTCCCCGAGCGGGCCGGCGCTGTGCTCCAGGATGGGGAGACTCGTGGCCGCTGTCTAGGAGCCGAGGCGCACAGGGGCAGCTGGGGCCTTCTTGCTGCCCTCTGGCCGTGGCCTGCCAGTTCTGCTTGGAAATGAACTCACGAGGGACTCTCTGGCCTTTGTCAAGCGCAAAAATACCACAAAAAGGTCAGCCGGCTATTTTCGGCCACTGGCTGACAGAAGGAGTCAGAACCTCAAGTTCAAATCCCAGCTCTGCCTGAGCAGCTTCAAGGCCTCGGAACAGCTCTTGCCTGGGATTCCCGCGCGTGCCGGCCGCCCAGGCCTGGCGGGTGAGCCCGCCTCGCTCCCGTCTGGTCCCAACACTCTCACGTTCGGAGGTTTCCATGGAAAACCTGGCTTTCGGCGTCTTAGGAAACGAAACGCTTTGGCTCGACGGGGCCTGTTCTCGCGAGGCAGCAACCGGAGGGCGCAGGCGGGGTCCCTCCCACCTCAGTTGGCCTGGCCCTCCCAGGCTTTCGGGTCATCAGCTCTGCTTTTTATCCACGGGTTCCTATGACGCGGGGAAGTTTCAATCCCCCAAGCCCTCTCCTGTCAGCCCCTCTGCAAACCCTGCACCTTGGAATCACAATGAGGGGGGCTGCTGGCCTCCAGGTGGGGTTCTCAGACGTGTCAAGAACCACTTTCCCGCTGCCTCTGTGGAGCTGTTTCTTCCGCCTGGAGTCCCCTTTGGCCTCTTTCCTTCTCCACAAATGCCCTCCCCATCCTCCACGGCTCATGCAGCTCAGGGCCAGCTAGGGCAGGAGTTTCCCGCTGTGGTGTTAACTGCCCTCCTGCTTCTCTCCGGTCTGGCTGTCTCCGCGCCTCCTGGGGGGAGGGGGGAATGGAGGGTGGTCTTCCCAAGGACCACGGGGACTTGACTGCCAAGATACTCTCTCGGGCAATGGCGGCAGCTGCTTTGCCTCCACGGATGCCGGTTTGCGCCTGAGTCGCCTGTGTTAGGTGGGCTTTAGGTGGGTTTCTGATCCAGGGAGCGCTGTGGTCACAGAACCGGGCAGCCAGACACAGGCACCCACACAGCCGTATGTCGCGGCCAATGAGACATAAACGGCACAACACGTTCGATTTTCAGGAAGGCTCCTTAAAAGGGAAACAGTGCGCCTTTCTTTGTTCCATTTCCTGAAACATGTCTAACGTGTCTAACATGGAGATGATGGCTGGAACCCAGCAGCTGCCCAGGGCCAGGAGGATGGATTACATGTCAAGAATGGCGGAGACCCGAGCAGGAAGGAGTTGGCCTCTGATGCCTTTGTGGAAGCCCCGACTACCTTGACTTCCTCTGCCTCTGCAGTGGAACCTGGTCTTGGCTGATATTTATGTTTTTTCTTTTTAAACAAAAAGCTTTGTTAATGCAGGGAGGGGTGGTGAAGCCCAGTGTGTGAGGCTGGGTGGCCCCCAGAACCTTTGGCACACTTTCTGGGGGAATCTGGTAGTGACTGCAAGTGGGGAAAGAAGGAAAGGGGCCTGTGCAAGGGAGGAGGTGACTTCTGACCCCCCAAATCTTTAGGAAATGTTCCCTTTACTCTCTCTCTCCTTACGTGGTGCAAGTGGATGCTATTGGTGGAAAACGAGGAAGCATCCGAGTTTCTGTCTGGGTTCGTACAGGTCACATGGAAATTGTACAGGCGGGCCAAGACCCGATCAGAGTGGCGGCCACAAGAGGCCAAGGGTGGGAGGGGCTTGCGTGAGGTGGACTTGAGCCCCAGGGGCTTTGACCCAGATCCCCTGAGCCTCCAGGAGGGCTGTGTGTTCTGCCCCTAGAGCTGGGCAGTGACGATGCCTGGTCACTGACCATGTGACCC